CCATTATATAAATCTGGAGGGCAGTCGATGATAAATGTGGAGATGATTCCAACTTATAACAACTAGCAGCTACAGGATCACCTAAAGCTAGAATAATATTATCAACACAGACCTGGGTTATACTTCTTCCCTAGGCCCACACCTTTGATCTATAATACTGCACATACCCACATAACACACTGTAACACAAGATGGTGTAAGATGATTCATAATGTACAAGGTTCAAATTAACAAATGCTTATAATCCGTTGTGCCGGGGTTCAAGTGTGAAGGCAGTTAATGCTGCTAAAATCAATTAGTTATATATCAGCAACAACTCAAGTGACTACTTGTGTGTGAAAGGAGCATCTCTATAACGAACCCACTGCTACTTTACACTTTATGCTCAATGGCTCTTTGTGGCTGTTGTCATATGTAAGACATCAATAAGATATCTTAATGCACAGCATGATAATGGCTTATAGAGGCTATTATAATACATTCGGTAATCATTAGAATTCATTGTGAAGGTATTGATAATGCATTATGAATATGGTATTCTCAATATTATCTGGCAGATGAAACAGGGCTGCTCTGGTTCCTTTACTTCACTCTGACATAGAAATTACTTCTGGAGTTTTCAGTGTATTTTCATTTCTTCCTTTTTCTGTCAGTACCACAGGCTAATTAAGACTATTTTGTCTGCAGAGACATTGCAGTAAAACTAATGTTTTTAACTATTTCAGCTTTATTATTCATCTTATTTCATATCATGTATTATTTGAAGTCACCCAGGTGTTTTCTCCAGAGGGGAAGACAGAAAGAAAGAAAGAGAGAGAGAGAGAGAGTTGACAGTTGCACTCTCCTCTTAGCAACCACAGTGTTGTCTGCGGAAACTGTCTCCACATAACTAGGCACTAAAGAGCCTATGAGCGTGCTCAAATTAATTGGATTTGGTACAAAATTGCTCCCCTTGACAAGGCACATGCACGCATCATCCACACCACACACACAAACACTTACTTGCTAGGATTCAAAAATAGTTGTAACCATAATAACCTCAAATTGACATTTTCATATCCAGTCTGTGGTTTCAGTTCACTCACATTGTGGCTTTTCTCTGTTACTCAGCAGAACAAACAACAATTTTTCTGCAGAGGAGCTAATGAGCCAAATGTCTGTGAAGGGAAATGAGGCTTGTGCCTATAAAAACATACGTTTGTGTGTCGCCATACAGAGATTTAATGGTCTTTCGACACCATGTTGTGTTTTCGCTGACTTTTTCTCAAGTTGAGTTCTGATTCTACCTATAATTAAGATTTCAAGTATACAAATACTCTTTTCCAGAGCAGCTTTAGCTTTATATTCTGTTGTTGTAACAAAGAGGGCAATGAAAAGCAGGTGTCAGAAACACTTTGTTGGTCTCTGGTCATCAGCCAGGGAGGCAATAAAGCCATCTTACCATCACATGTTTATTTCTGTTGGCTCTATATTTAGAGCTGTTAACGAGAGGCTGCTCTGTTTACGAGCTTTCACACTGTAACTACATTAAAGTCTAACAATAATCTGAACCACCGTGAGCTGCTCTTCATTAGTCATTCTGTATGTGTGGATAGACATGAGGGTTGAAACGATAAGTTGATGAATTGATCGGTCAGTCTCCAGAAGATTATTAATTTTGGTCGTCCTCTGGCCCATGCATAGTTTTCTGACTGAAGTTTCAAGCAACTTTAAAGGGAAATGACAATTTATTTTATGATCCAACTGGTCTTAGCACAGTTTGTGGATTGTGTCTGTATAATTATCTTTATTAGTTTTTTATTGGTCATTATGTTTTATTATGCATATTATAGCTGGTTAACACTGTGGGTATGTGCGCTGTCATGTTGTGTCATTTTTTAAACAGAATTTTTTTTATTCATTCATAAATGCCAAACATTAGCTTGTTCCAGCTGCTCAGATTGATACTCAGATCAAAGCATTTTCTCAGTTTAATGTTGCTGTAAATCAAATACCCTTGAATTTGAGACTGTTGGATGTACAAAACAAGTAATTTGAGGACATTACTTGTTGCATTACTTGAAATTGCATTTTAACTATTTTCTGACATTTTATAGATTACACGAATAATCGGTCAAAAAAATATAATGAGAGTAATCATCAATTGCAGCCTTAATATACATGCTTCACCTTGTGTGAGTCACTGACTGTACCTGATGCTGATGTAAGCATTCAACAGCATTCATCTACAGTATTTCATATTAATGTGATGAGAGCAGCTCTCATAATGGCAGCGTAATTGAGAGTCAAAGAGAGGTCAAAGTAAAACTCAACACTGCCGTCGTGCTGTTGTAACTGTGCAGAAGTGAAGAGCTGTTTCTGTGGCGAGCGTGGATGAGCATTAATGTGACAGTCACACCGCAAGGACACACGCGTAGAGATGAAGTGGACGTGTGTGTGTGTGTGTGTGTGTGTGTGTGTGTGTGTGTGTGTGTGTGTGTGTGTGTGTGTGTGTGTGTGTGGGGTTGGGCTGTGCTTGCTCCTGTTGGTTTAACCTTGAACAAACACACGCACAGCGGTGCAGGTAGTAGAGGACGTCCAGAATTACAACAGGTGATGGCAGCATGTGTTTTTTACTCAACAAGAACAGCAGGGAGAAACTGATTTTATGTTGCTCAGGATCTGCACAAAGCACTTCACACCTCGAAATTATGATGTGTACCACTAATTACAGCCCGTTCCAAGATAAAGACATTGTCACAGAGGGTACGTCTACTGACATTCTTTTTTCTGCAACTTTACACAATTACACTTCAACTTTTCTTCTTCTTTTCTCTCTTCCTGTTTGAATTTGAATCTTTTTCAGCCCCCCTCCTTCAATTCCCACTGTTTCTGACTCCCCTCTTTCCATCTGAATGGCTTCCATTGTTGCTGTTCTGCTCCATTTCTCCATTTCCCTGCATTTTCTTCCACTGATGATGGTTGGGTGGCATTGTGTTGTTGTGGGGGTCACTTAGTCCAAAGGCTGTTGTGTGTACAGTGCAGTGCAGTAATCCGTGCGTGCAAGCAGTACAGTATGTGCCGGACTGTGTGAGTGTTTCCTCAGGTGGAAGAATTTTAGGAGGGGTTGGTTGGTTGTTGGATCATGGAGTTCATCTTTGGTAATGATGTGTAATTAAACCAATCACACGTGGTCATTACTATTGAATGAAACTGATGATGCTATCAAATCCAAGTGGAGGAAGCTACGGAGCAAGGCTCCTAACACTGGCAGAAGTCTGAATTAGCATGAACTGAAAAAATAATCCCACTCATCTTTTCTACTTCTGATAAGTTTTGAGATACAGAGAAGCCAAGATTTATTATTATCCAACTAGTTCACAAGAACTCCTCAGATCCTGTCTGAGCTAATGACATCAGTGACAGTCAGTGTCGGTCATCATCAGTCACACTTATCTGGAATTAGTGTCACCACATGCCCTGTTTGACTGTTTAAAACAACAATTTTGATACGGATATTGGTTTCTCAAGAATTGTGGCTAAGATATGCACTGAGCATATAAAGAGGTTGGAAAAACAGACATGTCAGTGCTCTCTGGTGGATGAACTACCTGCCTGCCAACATGTGCCGATAGGGTTGGGCTACGAAAACATTTGATTGAACTGAGTTTAGCTAAAATGAGACGAGCGTCAAAAGAAAATGCTCATTAAAAATGTTAATTAAATATGACACATTCAAATAACAGCTGTAGCATGCTTACTTCTCACACCTCTTGTATTTTATTTATTTTGTTCAGGCAGGTACCGGAGGTCCCACTGCAGAGCTGTGAAGTAGATCAGGTCAAAATACTGATGTGATCCACATAAAAAACAATCTGCTGAAAGTGACCTGAAGGGATCAGTGAGATCATTTCTCTAGAAAGGACTCACCACTCTGTCGATCCTGTTGAACTACAGAACACTCACACCATCTTCAGACACATTTACCAGATAACTGTTCCATTACAGAATTAACATCACTTAACTACAGCTAATATAATCCAGCCAGCGGTGATGTCTGTCATTTTAAATGGAAGAAGAAACAATTAGCACTTAGAAGCTGCTGCCTGAATGTTTTCTACATTGCTCGTGTGTAACAATAAGAGAAAAGAAAAGTGCTGCTAGGAAACTTTTTAGTGTCAGATACATCTACATTATGAAACTTCCAATGGAAACCCAACCATACATCCTGCCGAGCAAAAATCAGCCAATATATTGTCCATGCAAATGCATGTAGTAAATAGTTTTTGGGTTGGGTTGATATTTTGGGAGTTGTGTAGATAGAAGTTAGGACAAGATCAGCAGAGACAATAACACCAAGACATTTCAGACTCAGGTTTCTTCTAAAGCACCTTAGTCTTTCCTCCTCTTTGTCCTCCTCCTGCTCCTCTCTGTGGTCTGTGTGTCCTGCAGCTCAGACCGCAGCCTCCAGCATCTGTTACCTCCTTAACCCTCATGTGAAGATGAAGGTCAGTGAAGGGGCTGAGCAGGAGCTCACAGTACGGAGGAAAAAGTGACCCTCAAAAGCACTGAGCTTCCACACAAAAGCCCGAAAATTCTTGAGCAAATTGTAATATTTATTTTTTCAATCCAACAGTTTGATGAAAAGAAGCTTTTCAGCAGGATAGAAAGTCAGAGTGACAGATGGTTTCCTGGTTTCAGTGAGTTCAAAGTGATGTGTCTGTATAAGCTATCAGAAACAGGTGATTGGTGGTGTGTGTGTGTGGGGAGGAGGAAGAGGTTTGAATATTTAAAGGTGTGCATCATCACTCTGTCTGCCCCTCTACTTCTGGCTCTCCTTTATTCATGCATAACAAATATAAAGATGGATTATGCATATATAAAAGGCAGAGGTGCCAGTATAAACACAAACATGAAGGCAAATCCATTTATAACATACTACATGCGCTCATTAATCGCACTTTTAAATGATATATTAGACATTTTCTGAAGTGTTTCTTTCTCTCCTTCCCTCTTTCCAGCCGAGCCTCTTCCTCTGATGGACCTGTGCCGGCGTGCGGCCCGTCTGGCTTTGGGTCGGGAGCGGCTTCAGGAGATCGAGAGCCTCCCCCTGCCCCAGTCCCTCAAAAATTACCTCCAATACCAGTGACTGACACCAGCAGAGTACAAGGACACAAACCAGACCACCAGAGAGTCTACAGCTGGATGGAGGAAAGACATGAATTAAAAGGTGCAAAGAGGGGATGATGGATGGAAGAATGTCCACACTGAGAGTGCCGAGGCTCAACAAAAGATGGATTTATACGAAGATGGAATGAAAGATGGTGGATGAACTCACAGTGGAGGTCCAGGCTTTCACACAAAGGACAGGACAGCACCAGCTTCTTTTGGATTTTCGAGCTGCTCTATCATTTGTTTTGGACTTGAAATAAATTATTGATGATGGTATCCCATCAGTGTCTCACTCATCCAGAAAGAAAGCCCATCCCCTGATGGCACGGTGTGGTTAAGTGGTGAAAGAGACGGTGGTAAAAACAAAGACCGCCACCTAGTGATGAGAATAAAAACTGCGCCGAGAAAGCACACTAATCCTATCCCTGGAGGCCTTTCTGACGAACAGTCAGTGACCATATCATTGATTTGGATACCATAGTGTGTATTCATGGTTTCCACTGGTACAGGTGACAGGCTGCAGAGTCTTAGACGTCTAAGAGGATTCTAGCTCTAATGTCCTTTTTATGTGATGACTCAGGCCCGACCAAAAGCTCACACTGCATACAGAGTAGATCAAAACATGGCTGCAGGGTGTATGCAAAGTTTAGCACAAGAGACTTAACTTATCTCCTGGCTTTATGCAGACATTCGGTGATAGTTAAGCCCTTTTCAGACATGGAATAAGTAACGTCTATCAGTTAAAGCACCTGTCAGCACCTGGTGCTGGAGGAGGAACAGTGGAGTTAAAGAATAATGAAGGAAGCAAATTATGGATTTTAAAATTCATTTTGCCATTAATGTCTTAAGGATTGTCAGCTTGAAATCCCACACATCAGTTTAATCATTTATTTTTTTTTTTTCTGAGATTTATTTTATTGTGTGGCATGTTTTATACTGGAACTGCTTATTTTTGTTTGTTTTTTTGTTTTTACCTGTTTGTTTCCCTGTGCTGCAAAGGGAAATAAAATAGTTTTTATAATCTGATCTGAAATAAGATTAATCTTGACAAAATGTGGAAAAAAGACCTTCAGATCTTGAAATATTTCTCTGTAACTTTCACAAGCTAATAATCAGAGTGGAAAAAAAACATGTTATTTCCAGGTTATTTATTAAGAGTTTGACACTCAAAAACTCAACTAATCTACTTTATCAAGACTGTGCATGTGAGGTTTGATCAGATTTGATTGACAGTCACCAAACAACCCATCAACTGTAAGATTTTAACACAAATGTTGCTAAATTCTGATTGGCTGGATGGAAGTATCAGCTTTTTTTTAGATGAGTCCTGCAAACCTCAAACCACGTCGGAAGAACACACTGAAGAAGAAAAACACAAATGTCTAATGTGAAATAACCAGAATTGTCTTGTGGGTCCCCATCGCACATAGTAAGAAGCTTAATGAGAAAATATTTTAATCTCTTCATGTGCACACTTTGTGCTCCTGCAGCCTTTTTACATTAATGTGAGCATATTCAATTAAGACTCGCACTGTGTGGGAGGTGATGCAGCAGTGGCACGTGGTCCAGCTTATTAAGAACGTGGTCATGGCTTTTACACGCGGAGCTGCATGTCTGAAAGGGGCTTTATCACCGAAACAAATGGGACAAAACCGCTCGCTGTTTAAACAAGTGTTAAGTTGCACTGAGAAACATTCCTCACAGGACACTAAACCATGTATTATGATGTCAATCATGACCAAAGTATTTCATACTAAGCCATGGAGTGAATGAATGTGTCTGTAGGAGCTGTGGGTCGTGGCCTGCCGCAGTGTAACCTAAGAGGAGCCTCACCTGCTGTTGTTTGTAGCACCCTGCTGTAGCTCACTGGTACCAGACAGTATCTGTCTGCTCTCTGCACAACTGTCTTAATGACCACAAACAAGGAAACAAACAAACAAACAAGCAAACAGGACCAGGGCAGATCTAGACTCTCTGGATCTATTGTAAAGGCTGGAGCAGGACGAAGGAACATTACTGCTACTGCAGTGGCTCAGAACAGGATGCACATGACCAACGCCCAACCACACACACACACACACACACACAAACAAACTCACACATACATATTCACACACCTACCATGTTTTCTTTCCTAAAAAAGGCTTGAGTCACTTTTTTTTTACTTCTGAGTTTGTATCCAACATTATTATTATTATTATTATTATTGTTAATATTATTGTGAGTGTGGAGTCTGATTCTGATGATGGTAGGATGATGATGATGATGATGATGATGATGATGGTGGTGATGGTGATGATATTTATTTATCACAAGCTGGTTCTATGTTTTTTTTTTTGACTGATCAGTGATGGTTACTTTCAGGTAAATGTAATACAAAGATGCTGGTGACGAAGGGAGAGAAATCAAAACTAGTTTCTTCAATGCTGCTTTTATTATTATTATTATTATTATTATTATTATTATTATTATTACTATTATAATTATTATTGTTATTATTTGTGATGGTGGTGGTCTTACCTCTGTTTCCATCAGTTAGGATGGGGAGAAAAGGACCATTTCAGAGAAGTAGTAGAATGTATGGACTGGCAGTGCAGTTGAGATGTCAACAGAAATGAAATGTGAATAAAAGCCAAGTGAATTTGAAAAATCTCTCCAAAATATTCTTCGTGTTTCTTTCCCTTCACCTTTTCTAGGCTAATTCTGTTTCCCAAAAAATCACAGCTGATGATTTCTAGGAATGTTTACTAAAATGAGCATATTGAATTCATCCAAAAATACATCTGAAACATAAAAAACTGAGAGAGCTGCAGTAAGATGCAAAAGAGCCTGATGGTTCAACTGGGGCTGACACACTTTCAGCATCTTTAATTGTGTCTGAGGGAGCGTTTAATCTGCCGAGGGAGGCCTTGGCAAGGAAAATTGGGCCATAAACTATTTGGCCGTAAGTTCTCCCAATTGTCAAGTGTGCAGTTTCCACTTCAGAAGGTAAACAGCTAATGCTCGGCTCATCAGCTCCTGCAGCTGTGAATACAGCTCAACTCTGAGTCTAAAAGTAAGATCTGCAGCTGCAGGGCACCACAGAGTGAGAGCGCAGGCATTAGTGATAGCTGGTGTGGCTACAGGCTTCATATTTCTGCTGCACAATGTGGGATCAGACTTGCACTAAGGCATCATCAGGTCTGGCTCACAATATCTAAACACACAGGGGATGGGTGTTTGGAAAATCAATAGCGGACAGACGGTGTAATGATGCTCCTGCATCACCATCATGACACTATAGATCAATCACTCACAATTTAACAGGACCAGAAACACAGCCTGGTCACAAACAGCGAGTCACTCGCTGACATGAATACTCGAGAGGAAAGTGTGTTGCAGAACACAGGAGCTAAACTTTGATGAGGCTGCACAACAGAGCACCAAGTGATTTATAACAGAGTTTTTAAGTGTGACAACAGTGGGCAATAAACCAACACCAGCTTACTGACAGTGCAGTCTAAAGTCATATTTAAACAATATGTCTGCTCGAAGATACCCAACTTCTCTGATTTTTTTTTTTTTTCTATAACCCGGCCAAACATGTATTGGAACACAGCCTGTCAAGGGAAAACTGCAGCACACAGCTTTTTCTCTTAACTTATTCAATTTCAGGTGCACTAGTGGAAAATCCCTCAGTTAGTAAAGTACTAGTACCGTAACATAAAATAGCACTTTAATCAAAGTACTTAAAGTTCTGTATTCAAAAGTTCCCTTATGCAAAAGCTCCAGGTTTTTCCAGTTTATATTATTTGCTAAATGATTAGATTTTTTTTTTACTTTTATACTTTGAGTATGTATGAGCCATTTTAGACTGTTGTAATATTATATATTATAGTATTATTGGATTATTATCAAAGGTGCATTTACACACACAATTTTAATATTGAGGTAAAGCTAATATTAACTACTTTTTTCATTGCTGGTATACTCTACAAGAATGCATTTTACATTTTCAGAATATATGGTGTTTCATATGAAAAATCTGTAAATAAACAGTAACAGCAGACAGGTGTCAGATAAATGTAGTGGAGTAAAAATTTGAACTGCCAGTAAATGGAAATACTCAAGTTAAGTACAGGTAAGTCTACAGTAGTTGAAGAATGTAGTCAGTTATGTTTCCACCACTAACAAGAACCAGTGTTTTATATACAATGTGCACATTTAGACAATATTTACACTGTGAGGACACGTGTATAAAATACTTCAAAACACAATAAAATATCTGAACATAACAGTGAAGGAAAACACACCATGTAGCGTATCTGTGTCTGCCCAAATGCTGCACACACACACACACACACACACACAGAGACACTGTTGCTCAATTTGTTTCATTATAAACATTTAACCCTGATGCTCGCAGAAGGAAGCAAAGCTGCACTTTCTATTCTGGAACTTTGACAGGAAGCTGAGGTGTGAAAAGGGGTCCACAACACAACACAGGGAGGTGAGTTTGCCTTCAGAGTGGGAATAAAGACAATGAAAAACATGATAATTTTCCAAGTGTTTCTGATTAACCAATGATTTAGAGAAATGTCAAAATAAACATGGGCGATGTTCTTTAATATTGTACCTCTCAGTCATTAGTTTTGACATAAAAAGTGACTCACTGAACTAATATGCTGAGAGAAATAAACATTATGAGCTGCCAACGTGGTCGTTTGAGCCAATGCACTTGTCAGATAAAACTGTTATGACTGTGACCATCTGGGACTGCAGAGGCCGGTTTGGCTTGAGCTGCTTTCACATCTTCAGTACTTTCAGTGACCAATAGAAATGTTGAATAAATAGATACATTGAGGGAAGAAGAAAATCCCACTTTGCCTTAAGATCCTGAAAAATGTCACGTTGTTGTGGAGGTGATGATGTAAAATGAGGCACAGAATTCTTATTCTGAGAATTAGTCATTTGTAGCCTACACACACACACACACACACACACACACACACACACACACACACACACACACACACACAAACACACACTACAACGTCTGAACTCCTATAATTAATCAACAAAGAGCTCCCTCAAATACAATCATGAGGAGGGGTGTAGGTGGTTCCAACACAGAAAGAGATGAGTTGAAACAACAAAATAAACAGGAATGACAAGGAAACAAGGTCCTAATAGCAAAGTTCATGTCACTGTTAATGTAAATATCTTTAAACTCCCTTACATTTCAGAGGGAAATATTGTAGATTTTACTCCACATTTAGCTGACAGTGTTAATCAATTAAAAAAACAAACAATTATTAAACTATAACATTTTTATGCTTTACAATACTATGACTTTTTATGTGTTACTATACTATGAGGTTTTTCTGCCTTGCTGTACTATGAAATTCTTATGCCATACTAGTATGACTATTTTATGCGTTACTGTAATATGACTTTTTATATCTTACTATACTATGACAATTTTACTTTGACGTTTCATGCCTTACTATACAATGACATTTTTTTCACGTTTTATAACTAACTATACTATAACCATTTTTTTGACATTTTATGCCTTGCTATACTATGACGATTTTTTGACGGTTAAGGCATTACTATACTATAACGTTTCATGCCATGCTATACAATGATGTTTCTGTCAAGTTTTATGTCTAACTATACTATGACATTTTATGGACATTTTACGCCTTTCTATAATATGACTATGTCTTATGCCTTACCATACTATAACTTTTCATGCCTTACTATACGATGACATTTTTTTGACGTTTTATGCCTTACTATACTATGAAAATTTTTTTTTAGCTTCCATGCCCTACTGTACTGTAACATTTCATGCCTTACTATGCTATGATGTATGCTATATATTAATAAACTAGAATTTTTTTTTTTTTTATGTTTTATGCCTTACTATGCAATGATGTTTCATGCCATGCTATACTATGATGTTTTTTTCACGGTTTATGTCAAATTATACTATGACTTTTTATGCCTTACTATACCGTAAAACTTTTTTATCGTTTTATTCCTTAATATACCATGAGGTTTCTTTTTATGACATTTTATGCCTTACTATAATATGACATTTCTTTCACGTTACATTATTTGATGTTTTATGCCTTACCATACTATGATGTTTTTTTTATGTTTTATGCCTTACTATAAATTGATGTTTCATGCCTTGAAATACTATGATGTTTCAATCAAGGTTTATGCCTTACTATACTATGACCTTTTTTTCTGGGTGTATGCCTCATTATTTTATGATGTTTTTTTTATGTGTTATGACTTACTATACTATGACGTTTTTTTGACGTTTTATGCCTTACTATACTATCACGTTTTTTTTTTAATGTTTTATGACTTACCATGCTATGACGTTTCATGTCTTACTATACTATGACATTTTTTCGACATTTTAAGCCTTAATAAATTATGATGTTTTTTGACGTTTTATGCCTCATTATTTTATGATGTTTTTTTAATGTTTTATGACTTACCATGCTATGACGTTTCATGTCTTACTATACTATGACATTTTTTCGACATTTTAAGCCTTAATAAATTATGATGTTTTTTGACGTTTTATGCCTCATTATTTTATGATGTTTTTTTGATGTTTTATGACTTACCATGCTATGACGTTTCATGTCTTACTATACTATGACATTTTTTCGACATTTTAAGCCTTAATAAACTGTGATGTTTTTTTTGACATTTTATGCCTTGCTATACTATGACGTTTCATGCCTCACTATACTATGACATTTTTTGGACATTTTAAGCCTTATTAAACTATGATGTTTTCTTGACGTTTTATGCCTTACTATACTATGACGTTTTTTCACATTTTATGCCTCATTATTTTATGATGTTTTTTTGATGTTTTATGACTTACCATGCTATGATGTTTCATACCTTACTATACTATGACATTTTTTCGACATTTTAAGCCTTAATAAATTATGATGTTTTTTTGACGTTTTATGCCTTACTATACTATGACGTTTTTTCACATTTTATGCCTCATTATTTTATGATGTTTTTTTGATGTTTTATGACTTACCATGCTATGATGTTTCATACCTTACTATACTATGACATTTTTTCGACATTTTAAGCCTTAATAAATTATGATGTTTTTTTGACGTTTTATGCCTTACTATACTATGACGTTTTTTTCACATTTTATGCCTCATTATTTTATGATGTTTTTTAAATGTTTTATGACTTACCATGCTAT